TCAGGCGAAACACAACCACCGGGCCACTGGGTTTCAGTACAATATAGACAATCGCAACTGAAAACTCAAAGGGTTTTTGCGTTTAGGCGATAACTGCTGCAACCCGTTTTCGATGGGTACCATCAAAAGTCTCATCGAAGAGAATGTCGATGGAATATACGTAAAAAGTCTGATGTTCGGAAATAATATGGTTGAGGTAGGCTTCATTCGGAGATTGCTTATTGATCTCTTCTTCATAATGGCACTAAAGCCAGCACATATGTAGCTCAGTGACCCACTGTGACCGCCGGCGTGCGCGCATTGCGGCATTTTTTTCACAATTTTTCTCAGTAGTCATGTCTTTCAAAAATATTACCATTAGTAGTGAAAACACTGTTTTCGGACGCGATAATGGAAACGGGCTGCTTTGCTACACGGAAAAATGTCATATAAATCAAGCAAAATGAGTCTAGTCCGTGTAAAAGTGTGGCCCGCTGCCGGGCAAATTGGGCAACGAGAGCATGGGGGAGGGTGGACCTATAAAAAAAGCTAAAATGAAGGAAACGATCGGAAGCAAAGAAATTGTGAGCCTTCTTCTTCGTGAGGTCGACGGTGGTAAAACGGAGAGACGCAGGATGCCGAAGGGAGAAAACACCCGATTGAGTACGATGTACGAGAAGCGCATACACCTAGCGTGCTTTGGACAAGATACGGTAAAAGCACTAAAAGCACACTGGCAAGGGCATAGCGCCATTGTTCGCAATCTTGAACCGCGATCAAAGCAGCTCTGTCCCACTCACGCAGAGGATGGCTTCACCAAAGCTCATCGTTGAAAGCCCTTTGAGGTATATTGCAGATTCTCTGAGGGTTATTAAGATGTTCAAGCCTTGTTCATTGTTTTGTTTAATTTTGACTTGTTTTTGTTTGTTAACTGCTGTTTTTGGCCGCAGTTCGCCTTGCGAATGTTTCACAAGAATGCTGGGTTGTGAACAAAACTTTCGCCCCAGGCGGGACTCGAACCCGCACCTGTCTCTTGCCGTCAGTACACCATGAAAAGATGAGTTAGCGCGGAACGTGCCCCGGTAGCGCAACTTTCACTTGCCCGATAAGCGAGAGCTGTGGACCTGGGGGGAGTCTTGCTCATGACCCAGCATTCTGGTTTTGTTGAAGTTAGTTTTTTTTGCTCTGATACCTATACTTTGAACTTAGTGTGTAAATCACTTGTCTTGCAGGACACTGAGAAAGGCTTTTTTGGAAATATGAACGACCTGGTAGCGGAAGCCTGCAAAAAGATTCGCAACGACACACTGCTACAGTTTGGATACAATGCGATCGGCTTTTCACAAGGCGCAGTGTACAAGGGGATAAATCAGATGGAAGGGACCGATGGGTGTGCTCCTTTCAGCAGGTCTTCCTATTCAAAAGGCTGGACCTTCAATAGAGATTGTGCAAGGGCTCCCACAGACCCATCGGCATCTTATATTTAGTTAGTAGTTTAACAAATTTTCTTGTGCCTTACGAGGTTGTTCGGTGGAACCTTTATTAATGGCCTAACGTTTCGACTGAATCGTCGTCTTCAGAGGCCGTCGGTTCCACCCTTCGAGCGGAAAAGTCCGCTGCCACACAGAGCGCTGATCAGTTAGAACTTAAGAGTTAACTGATCAGGGCTCCGTGTGGCAGCGGACTTTTCCGCTCGAAGGGTGGAACCGACGGCCTCTGACCAATGAACGATTCAGTCTAAACGTTAAACCTTAACACGTTGACGACATCGCATGTTTTGGCATTTTGCACCTCGTGGGACAGGAGCGATTTTGCGACCGCGCCGTCCTCACCTTACTTACGCTTATTTTTTGTTAAAAATGCACAATAACTTGAATTTCATAGGACTATTTCGGCAAGGACGATCGCACAAAGGTTAAGTATATAAGTAGCAAAAGGTTTTCGTTTAGAAGAGCGCATAATAACCACGAAGAAGTAAAAAAACATCACTTTCGCTGCGAATGAAATTAAAAGCATTTATATCTAAGTACTCCCATCAAATCAAATATATTGAAACTCACAGAGTTTTGTTTCAACTAACTCTAAAATCTTTCATAAGAATATTGACGGCAGTGAAAGTATTATTAAGAAAGAATCGGAACGAAAGTTTTGTGCGTTCGGAAAATCTTTGCTTAATCAAAAGATACTTGACCACTCTAGCTGCCAAGCGGTTTTATAGTCATGCTAATGTATTATCTATAGAATGAATACAAGAAACCCGAGAGGAAGGAGCGCAAGCACGATAAAAGTGAGTAGCATAGACTTGACGCGCTTGCGCGTCAGAATGTCCGATGCGGTGCGAAATTCTTGACGCGCATGCGCGTCAGCTTGTCGTCAACGTGTTTATAAACGTTCCACCGACCAACTCGTAAGCACAAGAAGATTTGTTAAAACTTACAACTGACATGCCGAGGTTACAAGAAGAGAGAAGTTGGAGAATTCTTAGCTAGTAGCATTTTTTTCGCAATAAGGGCGAAATAGGCCGATAAATGAGTGAGTTCACTTTGGATTTCCCACTGTGGTTCCTCTTACACACTAAACAACCCATTTCTCTACCCTTAACTTCTACTTCTTCTTCTTCTTGGGTCCTTTGAAATACGCTTCAAAGTATTGAAGCTTCAGATAGATAACAAACAGCCCTGACAGTGCTTGAAACATAGGTTTTTCTAGAAGAGCTGTGGCCCAAAGATGTCCCGACCCACCGATGAAGAATTTCGTGTCAGGTACGATTAAGCGCTTTCTTTCACTTCGTTCGAGTAGTCTTTCCTTTTCTTTTCGTATTACATTTTGTTGCTTTTATTTCGTTACAATATTACATACAGAAAAAAGCGCTCATGTCCTTTGGGGACATTGAAGTGAGTGGGCCACTCATAGAACTCGGGACTAAGCCTTAGGGAGGGGAAAGGATTCTGGGAGAGGATGTGAGCAACCATTGTTCTCCCTGGTGTTTATTCCCAATCCTGGGCTTAGTCCTAGTGTCACCTACCAGCGGTTTTTGAATGCCCTGTTCTGAATGCCCCCTAAGGACATGAGCACTCAGAATAAACTGCGAGTAGCTAGGAGAATGACTAAAAGTCTGACCTATTTCAGTAGGTGGACAACACCAAGGCGTATTTGGCCTTCCTTACTGTCCTGGAGACACAACGCTCTGTAACATGATTCGAAGACTGCTTGATCTGGGCGCGTACAACCACTACGTTCAACATCAGTAAGTGTTAAATTTGAAGGTTTCTAGAAGAACGAGCGACGTAAAGAGCGAAAAGGGGAAGCTCACGCACTGCGCACTCAAAAATCAGGAAGTAGGAAGGGAACGTTTCAGAAGCAAAAAAGCGATGTACTATTTCGTCTAATTAGCGATTAAATGTTATAACCATAATACCACTCACAATCAGATACGCTGTTTCCATTTCAGAGTGGTGCAGGCCCAATATTGGCACGATCCCCTACATGAGGACGAATACAGAGAGAGAAGCATTTTCCTAGGGGATATCAACAATGAGCGGGTGAGTGATCGATGGTTAGAGTACGTACCAGAAGAATAGAGGTTGGTGAAGTAGCGAAAGTGCTCCCAGACAACTTTCGCCCCACACCGATTGTTATAAGGGCGGCAGTGGTGTAGTAGCAAGCGGCACGCATACCACGCGAGCGGTCCATCAAATCCTGGGTCGTGAGCAGGGTCAACCGTCCGTTCGAACTGTTCGAACGAAGGGGTCGCATTTTGGTCGGAAGGGGGTCGCAATTTCGAGG